AAAACCATAATATGAGTATCATAACATAAAAACATACGCGATGTATCCCAAATCATAATAAAATACTGTGCGGAAAACTGTATCATACTATATCAAATCCAAAACAACTAAAATCATCCCCAGGATAAAAGCTAAGCTGTGGTGTGTGCGATGCTATCACCCCGAGCTCTTCCCTTTACTTGCGGAAGTACCTGAAACCAAAACTGAAACTGTAAGCACGAAGCTTAGTGAGCTCCCCCAAAATACCACATACCATACAATAACATATAAACACATATTGGGCCCCGCCCACTGCATCGGGCCGAAACCCGGAAACTGCATCGGACCGAAGTCCGGAACTGACTGGGACCTTGTCCCCTGCATCGGACCAAAGTCCGGAACTAACTGCATCGGACCGAAGTCCGGAACTAACTGGGACCTTGTCCCCTGCATCGGACCAGAGTCCGGAACTAACTGCATCGGACCGAAGTCTGGAACTAACTGCATCGGACCGAAGTCCGGAACTATCTGGGACCTTGTCCCTGCATCGGACGAAGTCCGGAACTGACTGACTGAACATAGCATAGCATATCAACTAGCATGAACACATATACTGCATACTGCATCGGGCCGTAGCCCGGAACACATAACATATAACACATAACACATAAATCCTGTCTGAGCCACGAAGGCATCAAACATACCAACTACTACATCGGACCGAAGTCCGGAAACTACTGCTAACTGGACGGGCCGGCATTGTGGCCTTAGACCCGTCCCTACTGAAAGGAAACTCACCTCGTAAGCTGGCTGATGAGTGTGTGGCTCGGGAAGCTAACGGCTGCTGCTCCTGAATCTCCTCGGCTACAAGTCCATAAACACACTCAATCAAATACTAAACACTGCACTTGGGGTAAAATGACTCTTTTACCCTTGGTCAAAGTCAACTCTCTTTGGGCTGACTCGCCGAGTTGGGCCACCCAACTCGCCGAGTCCTACTCTCACTTCTCAGTTCTACACGCTGCTACTCGTCGAGTGTGGCATCGACTCGACGAGTACCCTCTTGATCCAAGAACTCAGACAATCTTCATCCGACTCGCCGAGCCGTATGAACAAACTCGACGAGTTGTTCTTGATCCTAAGAAGATTGCCTTGGACTCGCCGAGTTGTATGAACAAACTCGCCGAGTCCCTCCATCACTGAGTCTACTCTCAACTCGCTGAGTCCACTCCCTAACTCACCTCGTCCACTCGACACTGATAAAACTGAAGGACTCGGGAACTCGCGACCCAACTCGCCGAGTCGTTCTTCCCGACTCGCCGAGTTGCCGCCATGCAACTGATTTTTACTCGATTTTGTTTGAATCCAACACATACAATTGATAGATCTGAGTCTAATAAGCTGATTTACCACGTAAAGTTTCCAACTTTACGTGCACAACCTCATGAATAAGGGAAATAAGGCTAAAAGATGCACAAAATGGGTAGATCTATGGTTAATATGCAAAGTAACTCCAAAAAGACAGTAGATCTGGGCTCTACAACACCCCATCATTCAGATCCAAAGATATTTCGACTTATTAAGACATTCATGCAAACATAAGGCTTGGAACAAGCATCAACTAGCTCTTAGGAGAGCTCTAATGGAAGTTTAAAGCATATAACAAGAAGGAAACTCCGAAAATACCTCAATTAACTCAGATTTGCCCTTGGATCTTTGCACTACAACTCTTCTCCTTGCTTCTTTCTTCTTCTCCTTCTTCACACCTTCACAAAATGGCACCAAAACACTTATAAGCTCTCAAGGGAGGATTAGGGTTCTCTCACTGTGTTCTCAGGGTGAGGGAGGCGAGAAAGGGGGCTATAAGGTGGTTTAAATAGTGGGCAACCCGGGGATTTAGGGTTTCACCCAGACGGATGGACTCGCCGAGTCCAGGATATGCACTCGCCGAGTCCCCGGCTCACGCGTGCTCGCAGTCGCGACCCTACTCGGCGAGTCAGGCTATGAACTCGCCGAGTCCCTCTTGCAAAACTCACAACAATTACCAATGAATTAACATACCGGGAACGGGTCGTTACAAGAACCCCACCAAGCACGAAGCAAGCAGCATTCGGATAAGGGAAATAGACTCAGGCAAAAGGTATTCTCATAACAAAAAATTGCACTAGCATAGGATGCTAAGCTCATACTATCAGGCATAACCTAAACAGGCTATCCTACTGCTGTCTACTCAATTCTAGCATGCAATACTCATAAAGCTGTAACACATAAGCAGGCACATAAGGCATTCTCCTAGATCCTTAGCCGTATACTAGCATGTTGTTCTACTGAAACTGAAACTGAACAAATAACTTGTATGGGTAATTTGGGAGTACTTACTTGAGCTCGGCTGACCGCATGCACACACCTCTATCTTGTTAAAAACAATTCTTTCTTTCTAAGTGCTTTCAAAATTCTTTTTGTAAAACATTTTTATTTTACTAAAATCTTTTATTTCCCTTAGTTTGTGTTCAGATACACGCGGAAGTGTATCCGGATCCCTCAAACCAGGGCTCTGATACCAACTTGAAACGGCCCAAAAATACGACCCATAAATTTCGTTTTTTTCAATAATACCAAAACCATAATATGAGTATCATAACATAAAAACATACGCGATGTATCCCAAATCCTAATAAAATACTGTGCGGAAAACTGTATCATACTATATCAAATACAAAACAACTAAAATCATCCCCAGGATAAGAGCTAAGCTGTGGTGTGTGCGATGCTATCACCCCGAGCTCTTCCCTTTGCTTGCGGAAGTACCTGAAACCAAAACTGAAACTGTAAGCACGAAGCTTAGTGAGCTCCCCCAAACTACCACATACCATACAATAACATATAATCACATATTGGGCCTTGCCCACTGCATCGGGCCGAAGCCTGGAATTGCATCGGACCGAAGTCCGAAACTGACTGGGACCTTGTCCCCTGCATCGGACCGAAGTCCGAAACTAACTGCATCGGACCGAAGTCCGGAACTGACTGCATCGGACCAAAGTCCGGAACTAACTGCATCGGACCAAAGTCCGGAACTAACTGCATCGGACCAAAGACCGGAACTAACTGCATCGGACCAAAGTCCGGAACTAACTACATCGGACCGAAGTCCAGAACCGACTGGGACCTTGTCCCCTGCATCGGACCGAAGTCCGGAACTGACTGTCTGAACATCGCATAGCATAACACATCATCTAGCATGAACACCTATATACTGCATACTACATCGGGCCGTAGCCCATAACACATAACACTTAACACATAAGACATAGCACACAAATCCTGTCCGAGCCACGAAGGCATCAAACATACTAGCTACTGCATCGGACCTAAATCCGGAAACTACTGCTAACTGAACGGGCCGGCATTGTGGCCTTAGACCCGTCCCTACTGGAAGGAAACTCACCTCGTAAGCTGGCTGCTGAGTGTGTGGCTCGGGAAGCTAACGGCTGCTGCTCCTGAATCTCCTCGGCTACAAGTCCATAAACACACTCAATCAAATACTAAACACTGCGCTTAGGGTAAAATGACTCTTTTACCCTTGGTCAAAGTCAACTCTCTTTTGGGCTGACTCGCCGAGTTGGGCCGCCCAACTCGCCGAGTCCTACTCTCACTTCTCAGTTCTACTCGCTGCTACTCGTCGAGTGTGGCATCGACTCGACGAGTACCCTCTTGATCCAAGAACTCAGACAATCTTCATCCGACTCGCCGAGCCGGATGAACAAACTCGACGAGTTGTTCTTGATCTTAAGAAGATTGCCTTGGACTCGCCGAGTTGTATGAACAACTCGCCGAGTCCCTCCATCACTGAGTCTACCCTCAACTCGCTGAGTCCACTCTCTAACTCACTGGATCCACTCGACACTGGTAAAAATGAAGGAATCGAGAACTCGCGACCCAACTCGCCGAGTCGTTCTTCCCGACTCGCCGAGTTGCCGCCATGCAACTGATTTTTACTCGATTTTGTTTGAATCCAACACATACAATTGCTAGATCTGAGTCCAATAAGCTGATTTACCACGTAAAGTTTCCAACTTTACGTGTACAACCTCATGAATAAGGGAAATAAGGCTAAAAGATGCACAAAATGGGTAGATCTATGGTTAATATGCAAAGTAACTCCAAAAAGGTAATAGATCTAGGCTCTACAACACCCAATCATTCAGATCTAAAGATATCTCGACTTATTAAGGCATTCATGCAAACATAAGGCTTGGAACAAGCATCAACTAGATCTTAGAAGAGCTCTAATGGAGGTTTAAAGCATATAACAAGAGGGTAAATCCGAAAATACCTCAAATAACTCAGATTTGCCCTTGGATCTTTGCACTACAACTCTTCTCCTTGCTCCTTTCTTCTTCTCCTTCTTCACACCTTCACAAAATGGCACAAAAACACTTATAAGCTCTCAAGGTGGATTAGGGTTTTTCTCACAGTGTTCTCAGGGTGAGGAAGGCGAGAATGGGGCTATAAGGTGACTTAAATAGTGGGCAACCCGGGGATTTAGGGTTTCACCCAGACGGATGGACTCGCCGAGTCAGGGATATGGACTCGCCGAGTCCCCGGCTCACGCGTGCTCGAAGTCACGACCCTACTCGGCGAGTCAGGCTATGAACTCGCCGAGTCCCTCTTGAAAAACTTACAACAATTACCAATGAATTAACATACCGGGAACGGGTCGTTACAATTTTAGACTTTTTGCTCGGCAAGTGGGTGTTAATTGCCAAAAAGAGTTACTTCTTGATTGCAAAACAAGATGGAATTCCATTTATATGATGTTGAGTGTTGCTTTGGAGTACAAAGAAGTTTTTAATCGTTTGAGCAAAAAAGATAAACATTATGTTTGCTTTCCTAGTGAAGATGAATGGAATATGGCATCAAATGTTTGTGAAAAACTAAAATTGTTCTATCAAGTGACTGAAAAATTTTCTGGTACCAAATATCCCACATCAAACATATTCTTCCCTTTAATTTGTGACATGAAACTATCGTTGTTGAGCTGGAGCGTATCAGATAATAATGTTATTAAGTCTACTGCATCAACTATGTTGACCAAATTTGAGAAGTATTGGAATGTAATACATAATGTTATGAGTGTAGCAATTGTCTTAGACCCTAGGTATAAGTTAAAGTTGATCAATTATTTCTTTCCAAAGTTATATGGGAATGAAGCAAGAAGTGAGATTATGCAAGTACGCAACGTAATTACTAAGTTATTTGAAGAGTATAAAAAGAAACATAATGCAAAACAAGGAGCTTCTTGGAAACGACAATGTGAAACAAACGTATTTGAGGGAAGGGGTTCTACTTTAAGCAAATCAACATGGGAGTTGGATTTCGAGAATATGCTTTCTGAGGATGATGGATTGGAAAAAACTGAGTTGGATGATTATTTAGCTGAGAAGTTGTTACCGAATGGGGAGGGCTTTGACATATTAATGTGGTGGAAGTGTAATGGTTCTAAGTTTCCAATATTACAGAAGTTTGCTAGAGATATCTTAGTCATTCCAATTTCTTCAGTTGCTTCGGAATCATCTTTTAGCATGAGCGGGAATAAAGTGACAAAACAACGTAACCGACTCAAAGCGGAAACAGTTGGGGCGTTAATGTGTAGCCAAAGTTGGTTACGAAAAGAACTTCAAGGTAAATTTTTAATAAATATATCAATTGTTATATCATACTTGTATAAATATTATTTTCTCTAAAAATAAGTTCTATATGTTTTAGGTAAAAATCAAGGAGAACCAAAGGCTTTTGATCAGAAAGTTGCATATGATGAGGATGTTGAGTAATTTTCAAAGAAATAGAACCAAAGACTTGAAATTTATTTTGTTTAATCATGTTCTCATTTTGATGGTTGTTAAATTTTATGATTGATGTAAACAATCTAATTATGAGATATGGTTTTGATAGTGTATTAAACTTGATTTTTTTTGTGGCTTAAGTTGATTTATTATGACATGTGGTTTTGAACTTTTGATAGCACGGGGATGGGTCGGGGATGGGCCGGGGATAAGCCCAAAATCTAAAGGGGAGGGGATTAAATTCCCCGCCTCCGTTGGGGATGGGGATGGGGATGGTAAACCCGCCCCATCCCCACCCCATTGCCATCCCTAGCTACTTACATTCTGGGAATAAGGATTTTAAGAAATAGGAATAGAAGACTAATTGGACTTAGTCAAAGTACTTATTTGGATAAATTGCTAAATCGTTTTATCATGGATAATTCCAAGAAAGGATAATTACCTATCCAGAGCAACACCAAGCTGAATAAGACTCAAAGTCCGAGTACCGATGTCGAGATAGTAGAAATGAGTCAATTTACATATGCTTCCACTGTTGGATCGATCATGTATGCTATGACATGTACTCGCCCTGGTGTGGCTTTTGCTTTGAGCATGGTCAGCCGATATCAAGGGAACCTAGGAAAACCTCACTGGATAGCGGTCAAGAACATTCTTAAGTATCTGCGAAGGACTAACGACTGGGTCCTTACGCTTGGTAGCAGTGATGACTTAGGAGTTACAAGGTACAGTGACGCCAACTTTCAGACCAACAGAGACAACTTCCTTCTCAGTCAGGCTGGGTGTTTACCCTTAATGAAGAAGCTGTGACTTGGAAACGTTCCAAGCAGGAGATCGTGGCTGATTCAACATGTGAGTCAAAATATATAGCCGCAAGCGAAGCGTCAAAGGAGGTTATATGGTTGAAGAACTTCATTGGAGACCTTGGAGTTTTACTAGCCATAAAGGAGCCCATGGAGATTATCTACGGTAATGAAGGAGCAGTTTCCTTAACCAAGGAACCAAGGGATCATGGAAGATCCATACATATCGACAGAAAATATCATTTCATCAGACATCGGGTAGAGGAAGGACCCATCGTCATCAAGAGGGGATCGTCGGAAGAGAATCTTGTTGATCCCCTCACAAAGGGTTTGAGCAGGATCAAGCACATTCCCAATGCAAGGAGCATTTGTCTGAAGTACGATATTAGTTTTAGTGATTAGATAGACATTTAGAAACTTGTAACAATATAAATGTAACTGTAATTTGATGATTATAATGGAGATTTATTTATAAGAATTGTTTACTATCTTTTGTCAATTATTTATTGTTGTGTTTCACCTTTGAATGTTTTACTTCCTGAATAATTGGATTATTCAAATTATCCACAATCAATCATACTTTAGAAGTAATTAATTAAGACTATCATGAATTGGCTTGTAGAATGTCTAAGTGTTTAGACATAGCAAATGTTTGCAGCAACACGCATGAGTACTTTTGAAATGGGGATTTGAGTATTAGATTAAACCCACCCTCATTAAATTACATCATGGAATTTATCATAAGTAATTATGAGATGATAATATTGTATAACCTTTAAACTGAGATATATGAATTGTTGTTTACGAGATGGTTGTGCATTGATAGTGTGTAAACGTATCAGTAACTTGACATTATAAAACATATTATTGTGTATGATTTGATGACTAAATAGTAGAAATATATAAGCCAAAGTTAACAGTTCCTTTTTCTCTAAGGGGGAAAAGTGATCTCTTGGACCCCTCTATGATTTTGTGTTGACTTATGTGTCGGGCCCGGTCAAGACTGATTGATGTGTTCAATTAAGATCCTTGTCACACAAATCAGAGATCGGGAAATAAACTATTGGACAATGAGAATGATTCTATTCCATATCATTTGTTCACATGATATCTTGCAGAATGGAGGATTATGTTATCTCTTATATTAGGACTTGTAATTGACTAGGTCAGAGTTCGACAACGGCTTTTGAAAGCTACGATTGCTAGTCAAATTTTGAGGTCATACTTGAAATTATAGTTACTACAATTATCCAAGTGGGATACTATTAGATTAGGTGTCTAAGCCCATAAATATAATTGGTGTGTATTTGATTTGATAGTAGCATGGTCCTTTTGGGTTGCCTTTACTCTTGCAACTTGATAGGATGAATTTTGGAGAGAGAGGTTGATAAATAATTTCTTAATGTATTATGAGAATAATATATTAATTAGAAATCATGTTTTTTAATTATTATCCGAAATTAATTTGGAATTAAGTTTGGGATTAAAGGAACTCATTAGAGGAACATGGGTTGTTTTACAAATCATTAATAGTTGTGAAACTGGGCTATTGGACTCCTTGGAGAGGAGTGGACAAAAATTATAGGGAGGCCCTATAATTTTTTGTCCAAGGCCTCTTGATGAGGAGTCCATGGGCTGCTTAAGCCTTAAGCAGGAAATTAGGGTTTCCTCCAGCAAACCTTAGTAGCCCTTAGATATATAAAGACCCAGCCTCTTAGTATTTTCGGAAATGCTTGCTTTTTCTAACCTTAGCCGAAATTTGGTCCTATTCCATCTCCTCTCCTCTCATCCTCTTGTAAATGGTATTTGTAATCCATTAGAGGTGTTGCATTTGAGGCACTAAGGTTTCAAGAGTCAAGATCTACAAGGTGTTCTTGTTATTACAACATAACAAGTAAGGTAAACATCTAAACCCTAATTTTTTGATAATTTCGACTTATATACTAGATCTTAGGGTTTTGCTTTGGTATTCAAATTTGCATGTTCAACTAGTGAAAAAACTAGATCCAAAGCAAATAGAGTTGCATGAACACATAAGTTTGTAGTTATTCTCAAAACCCATCAGGATCAACTTCAGCAAAAACTTCCTCATATTCTAATTGTGCATCATAATCATAATTTTTATTCTCCCTCTAGAAGTTTGCATGTGTGTCTTCATTTAGAATCAGATTCTCCCTCTAGATTGGAGCATCAGGATTTGATGTTGAATGGGAGCTCTCCCCCTACAATGAGCATCAAAAGTTGTTGGTTGAGATTGTTGATCAGAAGCTTTCAGAATTGGTGTCTCCTGAGAGGTTTCGATGTTTTTAGCAACTTCATTGACAATTTTGTTTAACTTATCCCCTTGATTGTCCTTTTCCTTTGATTCAGAAGAGTTGGCTTTGACAGGCTCATCAAACAGATTCAGAAATTCCTCATATAGGTTTGAGAGAGGAATAGTCATAGGATTCTTTGAAGGAAAGATCTCATCAGATTGACAATCTACTTCTGAAACTTTTTCATATAGCTATCACCAAAGGTGACATAATAGGTTTCTTCAATCTTTCATGATTTCTTGTTCAGAACCCTATATGCTTTCGAAGTTAGAGAGTAACCCAGAAAAATTCCCTCATCAAGTTTCTCATCAAATTTGGTCCTTTGTTCTTTTGAATTGAAAATGAAGCACCTAGAACCAAACACATGAAAGAATTTGGCATTGGGTTTTCTTTTATTCAGAATATCATAAGGTGTAATTAAGGATCTTTTGTTAATAAAGGAGCGGTTTTGTGTAAAACAAGCAGTTGCAATAGAATCAGCCCATAAATAGAGAGGAAGATTCGCAAATGATAACATCGTCCTCACGGCTTCACAAAGAGAGCGGTTTTGTCTTTCAACGACACCGTTCTGTTGTGGAGTGTAAGGAGAATAAAATTTGTGAGTTATCCCTATTTCAGTTAAGAATTCTTCAAACACTTGGTTTTTGAATTTCGAACTGTTGTCACTACAAATGTTTCGAATGGGCTTTTGTAATTGAAGCTCTATTTACTTGATGAAATCTTCCAGCTTCGGAGTAGCATCTGATTTTTGTCTAAGAAAGAACACCCACGTAAATCAAGAAAAATCATCAACAATAACCAAGATATATTTATTACCACCAATACATTCAATGGCAGATGGTCCACATAAGTCAATATGCATTAATTCAAGTGGCTCGACTATTTTGGTATTGACAATGGTTGAGTGACCCTTTCTACTTTTATTTTCAAGCTCACATGCAGCACACAGATGTTCCTTGTCAAACTTCAGAAGGGGTAGACCACGTACAAGATCGCCCAGTACGGGTTTATTGATATCCTTGAAATTCAAATGGGAAAGCCTTCAGTGCCATAGCCAACTGTCATCCGAAGATGGTTTCGTAAGAAGTCAAATGGATGGATTCCCGTTGATCGGTTTCAAGTTTAGTGGATACATTTCTCCCTTTTGTTTAGATTTCAGAAGTACTGCCTTGGATTTCTTTTTAACAATTATTAAACCCTTATCATCAAACGACACCTTTAGCCCTGTACCTAAATCCAATTGGTTAACACTTATTAGGTTGTGTTGTAGTCCTTCTACATAAGCTACCTTCCGAATAGAGAATTCTCCATTCGTAATCATCCCGTAGCTTTTAATTTCCCTTGTAGCGTTATTTCCAAATTTTACTTTACCTCCATCCTTCAACGATCTATACTCCTTTAATTCTTCTCTCCTCCCAGTCATATGGCATGAACAACCGTTGTCGATATACCATTTTGAATCCTTCTGTTCGTCATACATAACCTACAAATTTCAGAGAGATTTAGGAACCCAAACCCTCTTAGGTCCTTGTGAAGATTTACCAACAGGAAAAATCTTATTCTTATCAACCCAAAAGGATATTTTTATCAAAACGCTATTCCTCCCTTTTATTATTTTAAAAGCCTCCAATTTATTGTCACCAACACTAATTTCAAATATATTAGATTTTTCTTGAATAAATTCTTTGATTTTCTTAGCAATCATTTTCGCAAATGCCTTTTCCTCCTTTTTTGAGTTAGCTTCGTATTCCTCAAGAGAAATCTTAGGTTCTGAAACAACTTTACTTTTGCCCTAAACATCTTTTGATGTTTTGGCAGATTTTAAAAATTTGTTATTGAAGGACAATTAGATTTTGGCTTTTCAACAACTTTTGAAACATGAGGTTTTAAAACCTGGGGTTTAAAAAAATGTTTTGATTTTGGTTTCTTAATTGGAGAAGAATTTTTATTTTGAATTGTAGATCATTCTAAATTAATAGAATTTTGATTGGAATTCTTATTTTTCCAAAAACACTTTCTTTTTTGTAAGTTTTTCCGATGTCTAGAATTCATCTGCCTTTTCTTAGCAACAAAATACTTCAGTTGACATGTGAACGTTAAATTTATGTTTCTTTTTTCTGACTGGCGTTTCGTGTTGTTCAGAATAGCTTTCACTGGAGACATCCTTCGTGCCACTTGGATCTGCCTGATCGTAA